GAAAAATAAGGTTTTGGGAGGAAGTCCATTTAAAATTGAGGTAATGGCTATCTTGCCAATACTGCATCATGGTGAGATAGCACTAGCCTGAGGATAGTTTTAAATTGGCGACATTTTGATCCTATCCTTACATAACTGGCAATTGTATATGGCATCCAGCAATTTAGAGAAAATGAAGTAGTAGAAATTTTTCTGAGACCAGGGAAAAACTACATACGATCAGAGACAGAATCATGTTTCAATTTAGTTTAAAGTTTAGCTTAGAGCACTGAGAGACCACTGTGCAAGCTTATGCACTGGGGCTTTTTAAATTTTCTTGGTAGTCTGAAGTGGCAAGTACCAACTATGGTCTGGCATACTGAGAAGAGCTGTACGAGTACATCTATGAAGTTCCAGAATTGTAAAGAGTTCCTTTTGAGAAAAATTTTATCAAGCTATCATTGGTTTACGTGCAATGAATCTATTATGAAACCATACGGATGTAAAAATATGCACAGTTTTATTTCAAATGGCCAGATACTTGCTCATTAAGCATTTGCCAGAATAAGCCAAACCCGATGGTAATTTAACTATCTTACCACCAAGAATATTGCGAGAGGTGATCAATATTACAACTGCATGTGAGGGACAGACAGTAATGAACATTCATGTCTTTCCTGGGGTTCTAACTCAGGTCTAATGGTATGCCAACTAGCTCCACCAACCACCATATTAAACAGGATGGATCTATAACTTCATAAGATGTGTTCAATTGTTTAAGCAACCTTTTGTATGCTTAATAATTGTTAAATCATTTATATTTAATAAGTATGCAATTTACAAATATAAAATTTAATATGTATTTATTTACATAAATGGAATTTAGAGTAGTGCTGCTGTTGATGATTTTTTCTAGAAAAACAGACTCCTCATGGCATAGTCACAGATCAAGCATAATTTGCAAAATAATAAATATAATGAAGCAATACAAGTTCTGCGACAGGTGCACCTGTTGTTTCATTATTTTGAGTATATGTTTTACATATTTCAATCATTACAACTGAAATAAAAAAGGCAGCAAATTACATGTTAGCCTTTCAGTGGTAACGAGATTAAGCAATTATTTCTTCTCTAATACGTACAATATCTGTCGACTGTAAATATGTAATTTCAGCTGTGTTCATCTGCAACCCCCCCCTGTGGTGTGTAACAGGAACGTGAGCTGAAAACATTTTACTATTTTAGGATAGAAAGAGGAAATAGCCAAATTAAAATGAGATTTCAAGGCTATTACACATTACAATTAGAATTTTATCTTACACAAATAACATTCCGTTATGTGTTTTACTTTAGCTATATTGTTAAACTATATATTGTTTTTATTTATTTATAAAAGAGCTATGCAAAATACAAAAGTCTGAGGATGACTTAAATAAAGAATAGATTCGACCCAATGACAGGCCCTCAGCTGACTTTGGCTTGTCCACAACTAAGGCCAGAAGTAATGGTCACTTTATTTTGGAGGCACCTAATAGGTGGGTCCCCTTTGCCTCCAATGAAGAGATGGACAGTCACAACCATATCTTCTCCGAGATTCGATCCGGGCCCTTTGATATTGCAGTCGGCTGCCCTAACCTGAGAGGCATAAAGCATAGAATTATAAGGCCAATTTCACTGATATTGAATTTTACTAAATTTACTGAAACAGGAAACCAGCCTTCTTCATAAAAATTAATTTTACAATTTAATTTAAGAATACTGAAAACATTACAATTAAAAAAAAAGCAAGAAAATAAGAATAATTATTTGTTTTGAATTTAAAGGCAAAGAATATCTGGAAAGTAAGAATACACCATGCCACCCAAACTGGGATAGTAGTTAGTGACTCTGAGTGCCATACTGATGGGGACATGTTCAAACACCGGAGAAGACATGGATGTTTGTAAATGCATAGTGTCCGTGCAGCATGGGGCACTCTAAATATACAACAAAACAAAAGTCCTCTCGAGAGGCTGGTGGTAGGAAAAGAGGGGTGGGACACTCTTGGACCCATCCCCCCCCCAGGTTGCTCTCTTTCAAAATCAGAAGTGGAAGTACCTATAAGGCTTACACATATGACTCCTTGCCAACGACATACACATACGATTCCTTGCCATGAATGTTGTGGACTTGTGCTGACATTTGTCAGACAAGTGAGAATGGTAACAATAATAACAGGATACATCATACGCTGGGTAGTAGATAGTGTTATGCACATAGTGGTAGTAGCCAGATAATTTAAACATGTTATTTCATTTTCGTATGATCACCTATCATATAATCTAGACTCAATGCTCTGCGGTTTTCAGTTGGTTCTTCATCTTAAGAATGAGAGATGGTTCAAAGATGGAAGAATACAGAATTGCTAAAACAGCAGGTAGAAATTAGTATGACATGGAAATACAAAAACCTTGTCCCTAGATAAGTAATTGGATAATGGTGGCATTCATGTTCAAAATAATGTTATTTAATATAATTAATTTTAATGAGAATTTTGTCTAATAAAGTTTATCTATGAAAATTAGCCTTTGTATACTAATTTTCTGGACATAAGTGAGCACTTATCTGAAGTTGAGAAGTTAGTGGACAGAAGAGGACGATAAAATTCTTTCATATCAATCTTTGAATCAAAAGGAATAAGATTAAAGTTGTAATGTCACAACTGGTGTTCAAAATTTATGACCAAATATACTTGCAAAAGCATATACTCATATTCATCTGTATGATAAATACCTAGAATAAATAATGAATACAAATTCTATACGTCAGTTATAGCTATTCCGTTTTTGGTACTTATGAATTTTTAAAGGAGACTTGAACAATTATAAAGCAGAAACTGTTCCTTTTTCATTTTTGAAAGTAACATTATTTTTGTATATATTTTAAAATTTGAATTTTGAACTATTTAAAATTAACCATACAGGCAGTTATTAACATTACCTCATGAACAAACATAGGTGAATGCAATTGGTCAATTGTTGGTCATAAATTCTGAGAATAAGTGGTGATACTTACAACTATGATTCAAATCCTTTTCAATTTTGATCAAAAACATCCCTATGGTTGAATCTAGAGGGAGAAAAAATTAGGTTGTAACCACCAATGAAATGTAGGTTATCACTTGAAATTTCCACAAAAACATAGTTATTCTAAACTTCCCAATTATTTCTGTTTTTATATACTCAAGTATATGCTAAACTAGTTCTTTAAAGATAGATAATCCAGCTGGTGGTCTACAAGCCAAAAAACTTAGCCCACTTTGCATTGTCTGTAATAATTAAACATATCCAGAAATCACAGTGAAGCGGAATAGAAACTAGTATTGAAATTTCTCAATAAAAATCATAACATGTTATAATTACATTACATTAGCATCGTATGCCCTAAGACAATGCCTCTGATCTGTGGATATGTACATACATCATGATTCTTATGAATAGTGGGTTTGTAATTATATGTGCGCATAATATATATGAGGGTTGAAACTTTAATAGTGGCAACTATTTATTTACAAGGAATACACAAGTGATTCATGTCACCATGTTTTACAGTCCTTCAATATAATCGCCAGCATTGTGTACAACCTGTTTCCAACAATGTGGAAGTCGCAGAATACCTGTAGCAGCGCCTGTTTTGTTGATAGTTTGAATGGACCGGTCTACTGCCGCAAGAATCTCAGGAACAGTTTGGACGCGAGTGCCACGAAGTGGTTCCTTCATCTTAGGAATTAAGTCATAGTCACAAGGGCTTAGATCTGGGAGTATGGTGGATGGTAAAGCACTTCCCAGCCCAGCCCCATCGCTTGAACAAATCAGTCACAGCTTGCGCTGCATGCGGCCGAGCATTGTCATGCAAAATGAGAGGAGCGTTCTGCAGAAAGTGTCGCCGTTTTTTTCTCAAAGCTGGTCGGAGATTGTGCTCCAAAAATGAGCAGTAAAACTGCGCAGTGACGGTCTGCTGTGGGGGAATGGTATGCGTTAGGATGACACCATCACAGTCGTACACGAGAATCACCATAACTTTCACATTGCTGGGGTTCTGACGAAATTTCAAACGTCGTGGTGACCCGTGATGACGCCATTCATTTGATTGACGTTTCAGTTCTGGCTGGTACGATCGGGCCCAAGTCTCATCCAGCATAATGATACGGTGTAAAAAAGCATCTCCTTCGCGCTCAAGGTGGGTTTGGGCAGCATCGTATCGTAGCCATTTCTGCATTTCCATCAATTGATGTGGAACCCATCGTGAAGCAATTTTTCTTATGGACAGGCGTTCCTTCAGAATGTGCAGCACAGTCGTATGGGCTAATGTACGGCCAGCTGACGAATCGTTTGGCACCGATCACTGTCCATTAGTGCGGCAACAGCTTGCACGTCTGCATCGCTGACACTCGGGACGACCTGGCCGCAGCATGTCTGCCACGTTTGGGCGTCCTTCCTTGAATGCTTTCACCCATCTTGCTACGGTTCTGTAAGACAATGCAGATTCCCCACAAGCCTCTTGAAGGCCTTGATGACACTGTCGTGCTGTACGACATCTTGCACATTCAATTTTTATCCAACATCGTTGTTCTTGTTTTGAAAACATCCTGACAACACTTACTTTAGACCGCGAGCTAATACAAGGATCCGTTCTTCGCGTCACTCCGCATGCGCGTCACGTAGGCAGGATGAGTCTTTTTGCTGAGAGGTAAGGTAGGTATGTAGTTGACGTGTGGTATACGCGATACAGCTATGCATATGTCTAAGCATGTGTTAAATTCTTATCTGTTTGTATTAAAATACAACACTGCCTTCAGAAACAATAGTAGCCATTTACAATGATAGGTGCTATGTACGCATGGTAAAAGAATTCATTAGAAATGAACCTTATGAGAACATAAACTTTCTCAAATTGCTAGATTTTTTAATTATTTCTAAATATTTTTTATACTTTATTTTTTAAAATTACAGCAATGTATAAAAGAATTAGTCAAAAAAATGTTAAATCACATAATTAGTTTTTAATTTATTGCCATCAATTAATTACATATCACTTCTGTTTAAATTTTAGAGAATGAGTGGAAAAATACAGAATATAAATACGAGTTTTTCTTTGAAGCTTGAGCTTTTAAAATACACTATACAAAGAAATGAGAAATCTATGAAAACAATGAAAATCGCTGGGCTCGCAATTTTTCTTTGCTCACGAGACTCGCATCAATTTCTTTCAATCTAGGCAAATACTTCAAATCTCCAAGAGCAGCCACAGAAGCTTTGTTTTTCAACATACGAGTAGCAATGTTATGAATATCATCAGAAGTTACTTTAGCTGAAATTAAAATAATCTAGTTATAAAATAAAAAATAATAAAAAAAAAGCTTAGCTGAAATTGCAGTAAAATTTTCTGCATTAAAAACTGCTAAAATTATAGACACCAACCTATCTCCTCAATGAAGAATTCAGGCTCCTTTCTGGTTCCAGTAGCCAGCACTTGACGACCAATATCTTCAAATACGACTGGCCTTGATTCTAAATTCATTAAAAGAACTGATTGAAGTTGAGTCTTGGCACGTTCTAATTCAGACTGGAAAGGAAAAAAAAAAAAAAAAAAAAGAAGCATCTAGCGAAAATTTCAAGGAATATGCATAATTCTGTCAGATTCAAAACTAAATTTTTAGCAATCATAGTAGTATTCAGTAGTAAGTATAACACTGTTTCAGGCTATGCATTTATAGCTGTCTCTTTGAATAATAACTTGAGCAGGGAGAAATTGATAATTTATTAGATAAAGATACACAGCACAAGAGTTGCAAACAGTTCAAGAACACAGAAATTAAGCAATTACTCATTAATGCAGGAGAAACATTATAATTTCATGAATCATTCGTAAACTCTAAAATGCCATTTAGCTACCTTTTAAAATTGATTAACAACTGACGTGCCCTAGCTTTTGGAGCTGAATTTATATACACACTGGCCAATAACTTACTGGTCCAACTTTTCCACAGATAACTGTTCTGATTCATTTAGGCATTAAGTCTACATGCTTCTGAAGAAAATACCATACATTGGCTATGCAGCTTTTTAGATCTTGTAAATTAGATGGAAGAGGAGAGTGCTGTTGGATACGTCTTTCCACCATATCCCACACATTTTCTAGGGAATCTGGACTATGTGGTGGCCAGAGAAGGAAGACAGACTGATGTTCAACAAACCAATTTTGAACACTTCTGCCACAATGTACAGTTGCATTTTTGCCCATGCAGTATGCATCACCATCAGGGTTAAAATGCAACTTTGCACAGTGCACTTGATCTGCCAGCATATATAGGTAACTTATGGCTGTTTGCTTACCCTGGAGGAACACCAGAGCCTCACTTCCATGCAAGCAGAACATACCCCATATCATAATAATCCCACCAGACCCTTGCACTGTGCGAGTAAGGCAAGGTGGATTCAAGGGGTTCTCGTCAAATTCAGCGTCTTACAAGGTGTAGCACGATTCATCCGACCCATTACTCATTTCCAATCATCAGATGTCCAGCGTCTTCTTTCCTGAAACCACTGCAATCAAATTCTTACATGTCAGACAGAAATGAGTGGTTTTCTCACAGGGACCTGACTATGCATTCCTATCCTCTGCACATGGTTTGAGCTGAAATCTCTTCATTGATGATCTGTGTCAGTCGAAGCACAATAGAGTCCCTGTTTTGCCGTACATATGTCGGAGACGTCGCTTTCTTGGGAAACTGTGCTTGAATCGCAGTTAGATCTTCTACAGATTTCAGCCTTTGAAATCCTTTGACATAGCTGCTTTTGAGAATTAAGTGAGATTTGCTGTCTTCAAAATTGAGGCCCCTGATAAACGAGCACCAACATTAAGCCCCTTTTCAAATGGTGAAAGATCTGTCGTTTTTCCCATTCTACTTCATTCGCTGTGAAAAGCATTCTCACACTAGCATTTTAACCACGTGAAACCCATGCCATAAAGAAATTTGCATACTTCATTCTAACACGCATTCAAATGAAAATCTCAAAGGTTCCTAATTCATTGGTTAATGTGTGTATGATATGGCATGGGTTTTTGGAAACTTGGAGAAAAATTAATCACAAAGTTTCACAAATATTTTTCCTAAATCTGTCAACAAACTGCCACATGATATCAGCTTGGTGACTAAACTGGACTTGCTAGGAACAAATTTTCCCAACTTTCACATTCTATTTAGACTAATTTTATAATTTAAACACTGCTAGACTCCTACAATTCTGTACAAGAAATAAGCATTTATATACAGGATGTCTATAATTAATAATTTTATTTCAAAGCTGCTTACAAGTGAAACCAGTGATCAGAAAATTGAAATGTTATGGTGGACTTAATGAAGGGATGAGAATTTCTTTCAGTGAAAAATAAAATTAGTTACAAATAGTGTCACCAAAGCACGTTTTACTTTGAAAACCTGTAGTAAAAATGCAAATCTTTGTCATCATCATGCAGCAACTATTATAAAACCTAGAAACATTCATAGAGACTTTGTTTTCAACGTGCATGTTGGTCGCAGTTAGACGATAAGTTTCCAAGATCGTGCTTTGTTAGTAAAATTGTTCTACCAAACAGCAATTCCGCAGCAGTTGCTCTACGGAAATTTTGGTTTTGCAGGGGATTCTAAGAGTCCAATGAATGTTAAAAACTTCAGAAAATGATAATGAAATTTGAACAACTGAGATAGTTTTCTGTTCATACTGGAAGTGGAAGAAACCTTGTTTCTGAGATAAGTATAGGAGGTTGTGCTTCAGGTTGTGGAGGATACAGCTTCAAACTTTCAGGCTAGAGACAGTGTTTGGTGTATAACAGAGGCACTGGATAGACCACGCTTAACTGTCCATAAGATCTTGTGGAATATCCTCCGATATTACCTTTACAAACTTTCATTAGTGTAGGGGTTGCTTCGACATGATTTTGATGCTTAACTCTGGTTCTCAATTCAGTTTCTTGTTCACTTTGAGGTTGATTAGAATGGCCCTGGAATATCCTCTGGGCAGATGAAGTGCATTTTCATTTGGATGATGCAACGAATACCTCACAACTGCCGAATTTGGAGATCAAGTACAAGCGACGGGGGACATTTAAAAAATTCATAAATTTTTGAAAATTCAAAATTTATGAAAAATGTAGAGTAAAATGTAGAGGTAAAAAATTGATACACATGCTTGAAATAACATGGGGTTTTATTGGGGGAAAAAAGGGGGGCTAACATATTGGCGCTGGGCAGCAAATGTCTGTGAGCCGCATGAGAACTGTAAACGAAATGAGCTGTAATGAGAGACAATCAGTCTCTTCATGATTACTAGTGATCTGGACTGATGGAGTGGTGCCCAGAAGCAAATATGTCTAAGCATTGTTTTTATAACTTTCTTTACTTGCATAAGCGTTGTTAGCTCTGCCCCATACTTTGTATAAAGCCAGGCTGGGGCTGTGGGGATTATGCCTACTTGGACGAGGTTCAGAATCTAGGCTACTAGAGCCACGAAAGGCACCTCGAGAGAGGAGGATCCAGGTCTTGTGCTTTGTCCCTCCATGACTTTTTCACTTTTCTATCCTTGCCTCCGGGTGTTGGCCACTGTGTGATGTGGATTTCTCTCATCAATCGTGATCATACTTTTTTTCCTTTGAGAAAATGTGCGGTTCTGCTATTCAAACTGCCAGTGTGAAGGTGCGAGGTGCACTGATATGTTACAGAATTGCATCATCCATAGTTTGGCTGATTGGAAGGTATGACTTCTATGCAGGATGACGCTCCACTCCATATTGCTACATGTGAAAGATCTGTTGCACACATCATTTGGTGAAAATTGTGCGCTGAGCCACCACTTCTGTCATGCCTGGCCTCTCAAGTCCCCAGTTCTCAATCTGTGTGATTACTGGTTGTGGGGTACCTGAAATTGCAAGTCACCGCAATCATCCTACCTCATTAGGGATGCTAAAAAACAACATATGACGGCACTTTCTCACTATATGCTGTACAGTGCTGTTCACAACACTGTCCTTAGACTACAGGTATTGTTGATGAATGATGGCAGATATGCTGAAAATTTGTTACAAAGAACAGTCTTTGCTAAAAATCAATTGTTATATTAATTATTGCTTTTGTTATGCGAAGCATCATCTGCTGGCTGTTTTATGCACTTTTCTTTTTTCTTTCAATAAAATCTCATGACATTTGAAGCGTGTAAGTCAGTTTCTACCTCTCTATCTACATAATTCAGTGAATTATTGAATTTTCAAATGTTAACGGACCTTTTGGGTCATCCTGTAAATTTGAGGTTAAGTCAAGCATAGACGACAAAGACAAAATGCTTACAACAGTGATTTTCAGAGGTCATCGGCTAAGTTATTTTACAAATAATAACTATACATATTTTTAACAAATAATAACAATGTATATTTTATTTTGAATTATTATTATGTTAACAAATTGTGCCAATTTACCCTAACTGCTAAGGGTGCTGAAAATGACAGGCTGGGCCTGAAAATGTCTAGTGACTTAACACCTTTCCAAAAGAGCTATACTTCAGTAACCCACAATAATACAGGGTGGTGCAGGGAAACGGGAAATTTTGAACGTTACAGTTGGCAGCACTGCAGAACCGGCAGTTGTTCGAAACTTTGCACAATTGTTGTGACCGCATTGCCATTTAGTAATCATGGATCATTGGACTGGTGCAGAATGTGCAGTAGCTGTGAGAGCGTTTTATAAAAATGGTGATAGTGCGACTGCCGCGCAGAGAATATTTCGATAGCATTACCAGCTTGGACATCATAAACGTGTCCCATCTGCGCATACGATTACGACGTGGGTGAAGAAACAGGATCTACCTTGAAAAAGAAACCTCCAGGTGGCATTCCAAGGGTACCCCAGAGAACATTGAAGCTGTTAGAGCTGCAATCGAGAGAATTCCTCGCCGCTCCGTTCGACAGCATGCATCTTCAGCAGGACGGAGCCATGTCACACACTGCTCGACAATCGATGGCAGCAGTTCGTCAATTGTTTGGAAGACTCATTATTTCACGTAACGGTGACATTGAATGGCCTCCAAGATCCCCTGATCTTAGTGAGTGCAACTTCTTCCTGTGGAGACATCTTAAAGGCATGGTGTACTGTACACCTCCTGCAACAATCCATGAACTGAAGGAGAACACTGAAAAAGAAATCAGTGCCATTCCCCAAGATTTGCTACACCACGCATTCCAGAGTTTTCATAACAGGCTGTTAGAGTGTGAATGCCGAATGGGAGCACATCTTTCCGATGTCATCTTTAAAAAGTAAAGAGACACTTTTGGACATTCTGATTGTAAAATCATAAATGGCAGGCTGAATATATGCACTTTCGTTAATAAATTACTAGTTTTATGGATTTATTTGTGGAAATGACGTTATTTTAAAATTTCCCATTTCCCTGCGCCACCCTGACTTCAATACCTCATAACACACATTTATATACTTCAATAACCCACATAGTGAAACTGACTAGATGCACTCATTCCAGTATAATGAAAGCATGACAAGAAAACAGGATGAAGGCTATCAGGAGGCATAACTGTAATGGTGTATGGAAGGTTATAACAAAGGAGAGTCAAATAAAAGCATTTAAAAGCTGAATGCAGCAACATAATTTGTAAGTTGTGGATAATATACTACTTTTGATGCAATGCTAGTTTTAACGATACTAATGAAGATAAAATACTGCTAGTACAGTGCTTTGAATTTTGTTGTGTATGAAGAAACAACTTCAGACAAACCACCTGGCTGATGAACCAAATCCTGTCTCACTTACAAAATTCTCTTAATGAATTTGAGAGTCTCAGTATTGAAGTACCAATCAAAAGAAGATGATTAGCTTATCCAATGAATCCCATTTTGTTGCATCACATGAAGAGAGTTGCATGTACGTGTCATTTCACACAGAAAACACAGCAGACTGGAATTTAGGAAGAAAAACCTATGGAGTAAATATACTGCTTCGTTCAACTATTTTTCAGAAACATAGTTTCACGAACTTTACAATTTGTACACATTTCATCTACTATACTAAATAACTATAACAAAACACATCTTTGTCTATAAATATACGCTTACTTGCTCTATTAATATATCCTATGAAAATTTTGATTTCAAGTGTGCAGCTGTTCATAATTTATTTATCCCCATCTCTAAATTCATATTAATTATTTTATTTATTTGTCAAATGCCAGCTACGTTGGCCATTAGGCCATTAAACCCCTTCCTTGCAAATAGCGCTGAAGTCTACAAGAAAAATGTGTCAGTGCTTCAAACGTTCTGCCGTCATTGCCCACCCACTATTACATAAAACACACAATGGCAAATCAGCTAGTCCAATGTGAAGTAAATGGTTCTGTAGACAGTCATGTCCTGTCAATAGTCTAAAAGATGCAACCACAACTGTTCGCGGGTAGTCAGGAGCTAAAGCTAGGTTTGATGAGAGAACACTCCAAGGGTTGCCCTCACTAGCCCGAGTGGCAAAATCTCTAAAAGTCTTTTGATGTGTTAGCGATGTCAGAAGTTTAATAGAATGGAGGATTGCACTCGTTTTTGACTTTTGGAGAACCGTAGCCCCCTTTTCGCAAGAATATCTGCCATCTCATTCCCATAAATACCCATTGAAAAGATATCTTGTGGGAAAGTTCTTTTATGACTTCCTGACACTGTTGAACGCATGTGTTCTTACACTTTTGGTAAGAGGAGATGGCCTGCATTGCTGAAGTCGAATCAGACAGTATAACAGCCCTCCTGAACCGAGGCTCTGTCTCAATGATAATTCTTGGAGAGCCACATAAATGGCTTTCAGTTTTCCATTTCAGTTTTCCATCAAAGTGAGTGGAGTAAGCCTCTACAGGTATACAGAAACTGAAAAGCTTGCTAAAAACTCCATCTCCAGTCCCCTGGAATCCTATCGGTCAGAGAAGCCATCCGTGTATAAAAGTATCCATTCCTTCAGCCGGAAAAACATTGCTCAATTGTTTCCAAAGCTATAGTTCTTATTTGCTCTGGACTTCATTTTCCTTCTTATCAACTTTCATTTCCAGGTCCAACCGCACACATCAAGGAAGCTATAATCCAAAGGATTTAGCAAACAACAGCAGTGCAGGTTTCAGTGTTCTAGGTGAGAGACTTGTATTGTATAATTGTATTGTTCTAGGCGAGAGGCACACTGCAGAAAGCCATTTTGTGTCTGTCAGATTTGGTTGTTTATTATAATCATAATTCCTCCAATGAGGGCTACTTCGGTAGATCGAATAAGTCTCTGGAAAAGGATGAAGAGCATTTTTCTGGAATCAGGTTTGTTCATTGGTTGGTTTGCCGATACCAACTGCTTTTGCCAGAATGGGAGTCGTTTTAACAGCCCGGTTTATAATGCGCAGTGCCTGATTTTGGAAGACCTCCAGACGTTGTATCACATCTTGCGTATAGCCGAGATCAATATCTCGCAGCAGCAATGTAGTATTGGTCGAATATACATTTTATACGTCAGGTTGAAGAGTCTCTCTACCACAAGCCCATTTAACACCAGCTAAAGCGTTTAAAAATAGGTAAGGTCATATATGCTCTGCAACTTAGCAACTACATGCTCTGCATGCTTTCTTCAGGTTAGGCACTTGTCAACAAATACAGCAAAGATAGGTAGCACCATCCGTCTGCTGCAAAAAACTGACTTCTCATACATTAGTGTCTAGGAGTAAAGTGTTGTCTGTTGTGTGAGAAAAACTGACAAGTAGTCTTCCCCTGATTAACTCTCATATTATTAGCAGAACACCACTCCTCAAGTCTCTGGAGCGCAGAGTTTAAGATTCAGTTTAAACCATCTTGATCTTTTTTTTGAGCTATGGCCCATACAACAAGATCATCGGCAAAAAGGGCAGTGTTCACGATTCAATCTGATTCTAAGATGTCTGGTAGGTCGTTAATAAAAATGTTAAAGAGAGTAGGGCTAATAACTGTGCCCTGAGGCAAACCAGTTTCAACTTGTTTACATTTTGAAGTGCTGGTGCCATAACAAGTAGCACAAAAACATTGGGTCAAGAAATGTTTTAACCAAAGGAATATTTTTCCGCTAACACCGAATGTCTGAAGTTTATTAACAACAGCCTTTAACCTCCAAATGTTATCATAAGCTGCTTGGAAATTCTACTTAAACAGTCAGTACCAAATTTCATTCATCAAGTGCATCTTTAATTGACTGGCTTAAAAATACAACTTGTTGACTTGTAGAATGGTAATTTCTAAATCCCGCTTGTTTGGAAGATATTAAACCATTGGCTTCCAAGTACCACTTAAGACGGGAAACAATCATTCTCTCCATTATCTTTGATAACACACTAGTTAAAGCAATTTGTCTATAGCTGTCCAAATCCTGCTGTGGTTTGTTCTTTTTAAGAAGTGGGATCAAGATGGCCTTTTTCCAGGCAGCAGGAACAGTCAAGTTCCAACTCTTATTATAGAGCTTCAGGAGGACATTCAGGGTGCTTTTGCCAAAATTCTTTAAAAATTCGATATGGATATCGTCTGGGCCTGGACTTTTTTTACATTTCATTTGTCCAATAGTCCCTGCAATTCAGAAATAGTAAAATCTCTATTAAAAACTGAAGGTCCACGATAGCTAGAAGAAAATTTCTTGATAATTGTTTTTCTAAAAATCTTTTGGCTTTTCTTTAGATTGTTTTTTAAATGCTGTCTTTTGCAATAAAATAAGTTAAAAGCATTAAATTCAAATTAATAATTTTGAAATTTTCACCAGCATAAAAATACCCAGTATGCTCAAATAAATAAACCAAGAACAGTGGAAGTATTGTTTCAGAATTGCTAGAAATAATAAAATAATTATGAACGTACCACAATTATGTTAATACCTAATCATTTAATAGTTTAACAAATGGCATTACTGGGTGTGGTAATTTTTTGGTCAAAAGTTAAATTTTATTCAATACCTGAACTAACTTTTTTTTTCTTTTCTTTTCTGTTTGTAAAATAAAGATGCTACATTAGTAGAGTAATAAATAAGAACACCAACTGTAATGATAATAAGTAAGAAAAGTATATAAAAGCACTTTTATACTTACATGAGATATTTGTCCAATCATATTTTTAAATTCACTCACTATAACATCAACTAAATCCTTAAGCTGTACGGGGGAAAAAAAAAAAAGTATATTTAAACACATATGTATCTGAAATTAAACACTAATTCATAATTTACAATGCGGCATTTTAAAATTTTTTGAAAAAGCAAAGCACAGCATAAATGAATAATTAATCTCTCTTTCTGTATATATATTACATTTGATTTAACATAAATCTACACACGAATATCTAAATACTATGCATTAACACAATTAAAAATATCAATGAGCATAAAAATTGTCAAAACTTTATGACCTAATTATGATTTCCCAACTCCAAAAAGAAATGGGAGCTTGTGTCTTGACAGCACACATTATAAAAGTTATCACACATATATTCATCAAAAACAAACATTTGCTTAAATATAAATTGAAAATAATAAAAGACAAAAATTCCAGTCAGTCAAAGTACCTTATATGCTATGAGAAGAATTTTATCTAGCACCATTTTCACTCTTTTCTTAACAGCACTTAACTACTGTGGTGCTATTACACTACATTTTTCAGTGATCACAGAGCTAAAGGTTAAAAAATAATGCTGGTTTCATTTTGCATGACAAATAACGCTGACAGTTAAATCTAGTTTCAAAACGAATACTCATTTACAGCCATTTTATATTTTATATAAGATAAAAAAATATGTATATCAATATTATAATTTCAAAAGTCTCTTAATTGCTCATTTTTAATTTGGGTACTTCTTCTCTAGTAATAATTTTCTTGAAACTGAGTCATATCTGAAAACTAATTCTGCATCATGTCTTCTTACAGTTCTGCATTGCCTATAAGTTTTAGCCAATCAGATTAATGAAACATTTTACTGTAAATACCACTGCAATCCAACTACCCTCTTTCTCTGCCTACACTTCCTAGCTAAAGGATGACTTCTGCTTAACTGCTTCTGTTAAAAATGTAATGCGTCATCATCAAAATTGTAGGGTGCAGATTGGCCCCATTGTAATGTGCCATGCCATAATGCAATCAACAAATAATAAAGAGATATTTAGATTATCGTGATTTTGTGATTCTTCAAAAGTTCTCTGCATCTTTTTTCAGTGATCTTCTAATTTTAATGCATTCACGACTGCAAAATAATGTCTTTCCTAACCAAGCACTCATTTCATATCAATTTACTGCAAGGAACTAAATTATATCATTACGCATTCCCACATACATATGTTGTAGGATTCAAAAGTTTACGGCTTGAGTCTATAACATAAAAAAGTTTTTGCAGTAGTGTAACTATGAGAACGTTTTTGTATTATTACATTCTCCCCCTTTCCTAAAAGTGGTTTGTCCCACATCACGTGGTCAAAAGCTTGTTGCAGCAGGGTTTTTCTGTAGGCAAGTGCATTTAGTAACCGGTGATAAAAAGAAATGGAGACAGTTGAGCAGAGAATCAATATCAAATTTTGTGTTCGCTTGGGAAAGAGTGCTACAGAGACTTTTGAAATGTTGAAGCATGTGTTCGGAAGTGAAACATTATCAAGAATGTAAACTTTTGAGTGGCATCGCCATTTAAGAGAAGGCAGGGAAAGTGCTGAATATGACAAATGCTGTGGCCGTTCCGTGACTTCATGCACCGATGAAAACATAAAAAAGGTGTCTGCAGCGGTACGTGCGAACAGAGAGCAAACAATTTGCGAAATAGCAGAATCAGTTGGGATATCAGAGGCCACATGTCACCAGATACTGACTAAGGAATTTAACATGCATAGGATGTGTCAACACATCGTTCCCTGCATGTTAAACAAAAACCAAAAGGGAATTTGAATGGAAATGGAGGGAGACCTAATCTTGGTTGTTGACAAAGATCCTTCCCTACTTGGCAAAATTGTTACTGGAGACAAGAAATGGTGTTTTTTGTGCGACCCACAAATCAAGAGAGCATTGGGAAAGTGGAAATTACCACAATCTCCATGGAAGCAGAAATTCCGCCAAGATCGCGCTAGAGGTATTCTTCGATATCCAGGGCATTGTACATCTAGAATTTATTTCTGAAGGATGCACTGTGAACAAAGAACTCTACGTTGAAATCCTGCGTTGTTTACACGAGTCGATCCTGAAGAAGAGACCAAAGGCTGAGCATGGGTGCTGTTGCATGACAATGCCCCAGCTTACCAATCCCTACTCGTCAATGACTTTCTTAGAAAAATGAAAACGAATGTTTTGCCTCATCTTCCTTACTCCTTGCACCTGCAATTTCTTCTTATTTCCTGAACTGGCAAGACGCTTGCAGAGTCGTCAGCTTCAATCTTCAGATGAAGTTAAATGTGCAGCCACACACTGAATTAAAAGACATGGCCAAAAATAGATTTCAGGCATACTTCGATTTACAGGCGCTAGCAAAAGTGTGTTGCTGCACAAGGATCTTATTTCGAAGGAGGATGTGTTTCTGCAATTTAATTCATAATACTTTTTACATTATAGACTCAGTCCGGGAACTTTTGAATCCTACCTCATATATATATATATATATATATATATACATACAGTCATGACTCCGTATATATGGTTCTTCAAAGCAACTCAAAATACCTCATATATATGAAAGAAAAAGTTTATAAGTGCTTCAAGTGAGAATAAGTTATGATATGGTGAAATATAACAGCCTAAATTATTTTTTAATAGCATTCCAATACATTTATTATTTCTTGCAATGCTATATGATAAGAATAATAAAAAATTACTGTACTTCTTATCTTTTGGAAATCAAGCTTGAATGCTATAATCCCTTACTTGAACATGTATAAGAAAGGGAGAAAAAAAGTACATTTCAGCTGTATAATTTAGCATACCAATATTTTTTTTTAGCATATAGTTTAATTTATCTAACAATGATGTCATTGCGCTTAATCTATGAAACTTTACTGTATTTATACACATTAAATGAATGTTGCTAAACACTGCTATTTCAATCTGGGTTCAAAATATGGTAAATATACTGGTTGCATGGGCATTTTCATATTTTTTTCCCATACGTAACAAAAATAACAGCAAGTTTTCCTTATAAGGCCCTCCATGAAGGCAGCTCTTTCCTTCAAAAATAGTTCTCATGTGTTTTGTGGTATTCAGTTAAGCATGAAGATAGCTTTTTATATAGCATTCCATATCATCTGATACAGAGGCACTTTGGTACTGAACTTAAATTAATTAAGAATACTCCATATTATTCAGCAGTTGAAAGTACATTTACCTTAGATGGATGTGCACTTGCAGAAATGCAAAAGAGCCCAGTATCATTATAAGCGTGGTTCATAGCAGTAGCACTGTACATCCAATGATGCCTGTAAAATTCACAGAATTAAAATTAATTACAACAGGTATCGAATAATCAAATGTGAAAAATATTTGTTAATCAAGGATTTAATACTTGGATTTAATAATATATATTTATTGGAACTTGGAAAACGGTTCTTAAAGGTTACAGAAGTTTTTATGAATAACAGGATCCTTTAAAAAGAATTGCATATTAACTTTTATCATACTATTTCTAAAGCATTTAAAAAAATATTTTAATATATAACTAAGCTTTTTACATAAATAAATATAGGTCTGTTAATGTAAGAAGTGTATCATCTTAACATACAAATGCTGATTATACTGATTAGCTTTAACTTTGCCAGACACAAAAATTGAAATTTTTCCTACACTGAGGCATTATTTTAAATTTAACCTCAAGACTACAGAAGATGCTCATAAACATTACAGAGTAAAAGGATAGAAAATAACATCTTAGGTTTCATGGCAACAGACTTGCCTCAAATTAAGATGAGAAATGGTAGGCTATCAATCGTTGATAATGATGCCTTAAAAACACGAAGCACAGCTAAACACAACCAGTACCGAAAGATTTACAGAAGACCATGGACACCTAAGGCCCAAGCTTTGTAAAACAGACAAAAATTTGGGCAGCTTTCTTATGAACTCACCATGGAATAAAGAAACCAACAAGCGCAACTTTGAAAAACTCTGCACGACAGTTCTTTGAATCAGCAGTTTTTCAGACATATAGTGATACATGATGACAACTGGATTTACATACGGAATGCAGACAAGTGAAAATAATGGGCAGATCATAGAAAATCCACAAACCTCCCTGTTGTCATACAGAAATGATTCAAAATGAAGTTTATGATCAGTGTTTGGTAATTTTGAGCAAATAATCCATTATGAAATGGATTTTTACAGTGGCCCAAAAGGGTTTGTTAAACTTTTTTAGGCTTTTGCTAAGCTCGGAGTCTACAGTCTACTTTTGCATTCACTCATGCTAACCGATTTTTTTCAAGTCTTTTTAGCTTTAATGCTAAGCATAATTTTCTTCACACTTACCCCCCACACAACAAAATTGCAAAATTTTTAAAAGCTGCATATGTTGAGAACTCCCAATGCATTGTCGAGGACTGATATACATTTTAAAACCTTTTCACTCTTTTCTCAGTTCATCATATCAGTTTTCAGTTTTCTTAGTATGATGGCTTACACACATAAAAAAGCTTTTTGTTATTCTCTTTTTGTTATTAGCTCATTTATTCTCAAGTTTTATCCCACTTGGAAAGTTTTCAAATTTTTTAAAAATATTTTTAGTGCAATTTAAAATAAATTATTTAATGATTAATTAAATATAGTAGAATTACTTGAAATAAATGACAGTCTCAAAATTTAATATCTAGTAGTTAATAAATTTGAATTACAAAGTGTAACCAGCAAAAATGTTTCACAAGTACCAAGATTTATGATAGGAAATAAATATAATTTAAATTTAATTCTCTTTGTGTTATTATTATTGCTTAGGTATGTTTTGATAATATTTTGTAAGCCAGACTTAAAATTGAATTAAAATATTGTTTTCTAGATAAAAAGTTTTCATTTTATTTTTAAACAAAATCTGCCGTGCCAGCTGTTTACAGATTTGGCCTACATGTAATTTGAGTTTGAGACCACTGGTTTACAGCATCCTTTTCTGAGTGTCCCTTGTTTCTGTTGATGCTCTAGAAAAAGACTGTTTATGATATTTTTGCATAAAAAGTAATATTACCATGGAATTGAACAAAGATAAAGAGATGGAATGGGAACCATTGAATTATTTTGATTTAAAACATGGTTCTTTTCTTATGCTGTAGTAAGATGTCATTTTAAATTGAAAATACTTTTGACACACTCAGATACAGAATAACCTACAAGTTCTTTAGAAAATTTTTATATCATAGCTTTCTTTCCAATTTATTATATTTGCCTTTTAAGTTATAAGGAACTAGAAAAAAATACACGAGAATAACTTCAGGTATGATCATGTCTCACGTCTCAAACTCATGGCCCCCAAAGCAAATCACGATCGTGTCTCAAATTCATGGCCCCAAAAGCAGTTTTATGTGGCTTGTGAATACATTTCAATAATATATCTATTTCATGCTGGATGCTTATAATTTTACATACTATGGACCGAGCTTAAGTATGCAACTAATACTGAAGGGAAAAAAGATAACATGGTTAACTTGGAGCTTTGCCAGGCCATGCAGCTTTAAAAAAAATTTACAATTGAAGTTAAAAATAAGTTCTTAGCAATCAATTCAACATATTGAAATTCCATGAAATAAATGCCAGTCTAAAATTTAATAATTCGCTCTAACTATACCTGAATAATGAAGTAACACTAATAGAAATTTCTTGCAGGTACCAACCGTCTGGCTTGAAAATAAAAATAAATTTGGATTTTATCCCTTCATGTTGTTATTATGCTTATTCATGTACAATTTCTTGATAAATATTCAGTAAATGAAATTTGAAATTAAGTTCACAATTTTTTTTTCTTAAAAATTGTTTAAAAATTTTGCTAAAAAATTTCCGACCCATCAGTTGTTTTCAGATTGTGTGTTTGGTCTGGGTGCAATTCAAGTTTGAGACCACCGACATATAGCATATTTCAAATTTATTTACATAGACTGTTATCTGTAATCAGACATTATAATATTAACTATAATTTATGAATCAATGAAATAAATAAAAGTTCTAGATATGGAAGAAAAAAAATAACCTATTTAAAACATTGGTGTAGAGTCGTGTATACATTCCTTTGCCAGGTCCCCCAGCGGAAAAAGAGCCACCACCTCCCATCATTGTGTTCAACACACAGAAAGGAATAAAATCTGGACTTTGGTGAGAACAGCTTTCAAGTCCCAAGACAAAATGGGCAAGTTCAGGCATTGGAGTTGGTCCTAAATTTACATTTGACAAATCCTTTTCCAGCTTTAAGAAATAAAAATAAAAATTGAAATAAAACAATTTCAGAATTTTTATTCAATTTTTAGAACAGTATTAAAACAAGTATTTTTATACCAGATATGTACCATATGGTAAGAAAAAATGTTTTATTAATTACAATTGCTCATAAAAAATTCCCCAGCTCGACATGTTATAAAGTGAAATTCATTTATAACAGATGTATTATTAAAAAATAAATATTTAAATTATTAAGAAGCAAGATTATGCTCACAGCATTTAAATTCCTTAGTTTATTCAGCAATTACATATTATGATTAAATTTGAAAGATAAATTAAAAATCTTATGCTTCATCTATGGCAAAAGTCTGTAGCCCACATGAAGGTATGTAAAAAACAAAAATTGTTTTATGCAGCCCATACAGCCCGGACTTGGTGCCGTCCAACTATCACTTGTTCCTGCACATGAAGCGCGAGCTTGTTGGCAAGCGCTTTGGATCTGACGATGACACAAAAAATGCTGTGGAGTCGTGGTTATCGAAACTGGCGGGAAGTTTCTTTGATGATGGTATACAAAACTGGTCACCCGCTATGACAAGTGTTTGATCATTGGCGGAAATTATGTTGAAAAATAGTTTAAGACATGTATGTTCATGTAAAAATAAAATTGGATTCGAAAAAATTGTTTTACTATTTTTTTTTTAAAACGGTACTTGGTTTCTGAATACGCTTCGTACATTAATATTATTATATAATGCTAAATAAATAATTATAACAATTTTTAATTATAACATTGTATTAAATTATTGCAATTACAATACTAAAATAAATAACTATTACTACAAAAAGAATATTTCTGCCAGTGAATATAGTTTCTTGTTTTTTAAAAGTTTATTTCTAAAAGTAAGCAATGAAATTGTTGTAATGCAGAAACCATTGTAATTCCTCCCCCCCTGATTCCTAGACTGCAAAAAAATACAAAACGTAACATTTATTTCTGCGAATATCAGTTAAAAATATGGAAGGCAGGCGATAACTGGATGATCAGGGGAACTTTCCCTCCCATGGTAGTAAAATGCATCTATCTGGAGAGAATTCATTTAACGCATTATCTATACAGCTGCGCACTATTTAACAATTTTATTTATTAATTTCCTAAATGATTCTAAGTGTTTTTTGGCAGAATGCCAGCCAAGGTTGCTTTCGTGGTGGTCAAACACAACCATCTAAGAATTTTGGAAGGCTTCTTTGAAGGATGTTTCTAAGATGCACATGCACACACACACACTTAAAAAAAAAAAAAAAAAAAAAAAAAAAAAAAACCTAAAACTTTATAATAAAGCAACCTTTTATGGTAATGGAACAAACCATTAATAAATTTTAAAAAATTAGCCTCAGTATTATAATGCCAAGAAAGAGGTAAATATTCAAGTTTCATGCTATAGTTCATGTATAATTAATGTGGAAGGCAACCTTCAGTACAGAATTTTCCGGCCTTAATGCTGAGAGGGTTAATACCTGTAACATGTAAAGCTAACAGAAGAAAGAATAAGATGGGAACCATTAAAATTTTTAGAAGGGATAAAGAAAAATATTCTGAAATCAAGCATTTTTACTTCCTTGTACAAATTAAAGGAAGTATTATAATCACGAAAATTTCAGGGTACCGTATTTCAACGAAATTATCCATTTTGATCGCTACTCAATGCAATTTAATGATGTTTTTGAGTGACATCTGTATGTACAGACAGAATAAAGGATTCTTTTTCCCTAAATGAATTATAAAACTGATTTAAAATGGGTTCAGAAGCGAATTTTTCATGTGTCTATATGTACGTATGTATCTCGCATAACTCAAAAATGAATAGCCACAGAACACAGAAATTTTGCATGTGGAATTGCTATAGCATGTAAATGTACACCTCTCTTTTTGGTTGCAATTCCATACCAAAAGTATATAAATATATGTATATACATATATATTCCACTCTGTTACTCGGCTCAGTGTCTTTACTCTTACATGTTTGAAAATTTTGCATCTTTTGCTTTAAAAATGATTGAATTATGTTGTTCTTATCTTCCGGTTAAGGTTTTTTATGCCTTTAGTTTAACCTGAATGTTATAGTTGTAGAACTATCAACAGTTTAAAAGCTGTTTAAGTATGGTTAAGCTTGATTTTTATTTTACCATGGCAGCCACATTTGTTTACATTTGAAACTTAGCAGAATAGTGGATTTGTTGCCAACCTAGAGAAACAAAGCTTCGCAACAACAAAGTAACATCTTCTTTTATTATTGCAAATTAAATTATGCTTAATGCATTCTGGAATTATCATTTAAGTTATTAAATTATCTCATATATTGACTCAGCTTAGTGTCCACAACAAATTAAATCAGTTTCTACGCCTTCAGCGTCTTTTTGCCGAGTAAGACTAAAAGTAAACTTTCAGTTTTGTGCACTGAAAAATTTGTCTTCTTGCTGCTGACCAAATTGCTAGTTTTTGCGTAAAAACTGTAATTTTAATTGTAAAAATTACTTAAAAATTTTTTTTAACTGTATTTGGAGTTTTTTGTTTTTTCATATCTTTAAATTTTTAATGAAGATATTTTGTGTTTTTATTATTTTTGCCCCGTCGCGAAATGAGAACTGAATTAATTAAATGAGAAATACATGTATAATGAAATTCAAGGAAATAGGCGTTTCATATTAGCAGAAAATACTGTCGGCAGTCTGTTTTGGACAGAGAACAATGTTTACGAGTAGCACATGCACATTAGGTAAGCAGTGCTGAATCATCTGTGAAAAACTGATTATTTTTTATTTGTTTAATTTCTCTCATACATCATATTAGATTTATTATAATATTTGAATAGAACAAGTGGCAATGATTAGATAATTCTTCCAATGATTTTTCTCTTTTTTACATTGAGTTGTAAAATAAATTAGATGCAATTGCTGTTACGTGAACCTAGCGCCAGAGTATCGCTATGGTAAATAAATATAGTGAATTTTAAAAAGCGGATTAATTTTATCATAGTTTATGTGCTATTGATAAAGTAGATTTAATTTAATTCAAAAGTTTTAAATGAAATGCAGGAAAAATATGTCCAGTTTAATATTTCATACAAGGAAGTCATAAGGTACACATTAGATTTTTTTCATTTATTTACATATCTTTAAGAATAATATAGCTAATTCTAATTAATCAAATTTCACTGGATTAGTAATAATGTCTGATTTTATAACAAAGAAGATTTAGAATTTAAGACTGAGTACTGATAGTTATAAGTATAATTTTGTTTTCAGTTTATGAAGCTAAATGATTTCCATTTGGTAGAAATATATGTTGTTGACTGTTAATGTACTTGAGTATAAGTATTATTATAGTAGCTTGTTATGGATTTTGCTGCTAATTTTTTTATATCACAAAATGAAAATTTTGAATTTATATGTTTACTAATATAAAGAAATTTTTCATTACCTTTACCATACCTCCAGTATACTGAGCAAGAGAGTTATCTACAGGTATTTCTTTTTCTGAAGCTAAATTTTCAGTTTCCCATATGGGAGGATTTTCCACAAAATGCCTAAAAAGTTTTCAGTTAAGAATTTACTTGCATACTCAAGACAAATTCAAACTTCAAATTATTTGGATATAAATTAATTATGAAAGTAATATTGTTTAAATATCTGCACAAAGACCATATTTCTTTGATTCAAAAATTTTCTCTTCTGCCTTCATGTTAACTTCCCTATAAACAATATTTGTCTTCTAAGTAAAGGTGTTTTAGAATACAAATCGTAAAACTGAGCTCTTTTCACATAACACCCAACAATTTGCTTTCATAAAAAAATTCAAATTCTGTTCTACAAACAATTTAAACATTATCTGAAAAAGCAACTGTAAATCAGTTACTGATGGTCAACTTTCAGTTGACAGCTTTCAAGGGTAAAAGGGGAAAAAAAAAAAAAAAAACTCTAGTGTCAAAACTGGCAAAATAAGGATCTTAGAGCTGGTAAAAATTAATTCCAGAAAAAACAGTATAGTATTAACTTAAAATACTGGGTGATCAAAAAGTCAGTATAAATTTGAAAACTTAATAAATCATGGAATAATGTAGATAGAGAGGTAAAAATTGACACACATACTTAGAATGACATGGGGTTTTATTAAAACCCAAAAAAGTTTACTGTTATCGGGCCTTTTTTCTTCGAGGAAATGTGTGAGTCTGGTTTTGTAACTGCTACCGTGACGGGTGAGAGGTACGCCAATATGTTACAGAATCGCATCGTCCCCAGCCTGGCTGATAAACACCTGCTGGAACGTACGATTTTTATGCAGGATGGCGCTCCACCCCATATTGCTAGACGCGTGAAAGATCTCTTGCGTGCGTCGTTTGGTGATGATCGTGTGCTCAGCCGCCACTTTCGTCATGCTTGGCCTCCCAGGTCCCCAGACCTCAGTCCGTGCGATTATTGGCTTTGGGGTTACCTGAAGTCGCAAGTGTATCGTGATCGACCGACATCTCTAGGGATGCTGAAAGACAACATCCGACAGCAATGCCTCACCATAACTCCGGACATGCTTTACAGTGCTGTTCACAACATTACTCCTTGACTACAGCTATTGTTGAGGAGTGATGGTAAACATACTGAGCATTTCCTGTAAAGAACATCATCTTTGCTTTGTCTTAATTTGTTATGCTAATTATTGCTTTTCTAATAAAACCCCATGTCATTCTAAATATTCAATTCTAATTTAATGTCATTCTACATCATTCCGTGATTTATTAAGTTTTCAAATTTATACTGACTTTTTTATCACCTGGTATATTGTATCACCAATGTTTTCAATGGCCTAGAAAAATGCCTTAGGATTAAATGATTTGCTTAGAATAAATGGGAGCTTCAAACTCTATGGTTTAAAAAATAATTTTTAGCTATATTCCACTTAAGGGAATTCAAAATTAAAGAAATATGGTATTTACAAAAATCTGCAGAAATTAGACTACAATTTTAAGTTAATACTTAGTTCCATAAAATAAAAATCAGCAATTTTTTATATTAGTAATTGAAAGAAAAATTACATCATTGAAATTAAACATAATAAAAAAAGATTACCTTTGACAAGATTCAACAAGAGCATCATGTTCAATTCCAACACCAGCAATAACCATTCGAGAGGGTATAAAATGATATTTTAAATATGTATATAAAACAGTTCTATCGATGTGAAATACATTTTCAGCTGGGCACAGTTTTGGAAGACCCAATGTATTTTTCTCATATGCAGCCTAGTTCAAGAGATAAAAAATTACAATCTGCTAATTTCAAACAGAAAAGTAAACAACTTAGCCCTATTTTCACCAGCATAAAAGTACATAATAAACTTTAGCCTAAATTATTATTAGCTTATACTAAATTTAAAAAGAAGATTATCACAACACTATTTAAAATCTTACCAAATGGGAAAATCTGGGAGAATTTTAGAAAACTAATGAATAACAAATTATGAGCTTTAATTTTAAACAAACATGGGGATTCAGTGTTATGCTAACACAATATTTCTTTCATTGGTCAGCTTTATTTTGCTTACTCAAACAACATAATTAACTGGAATTTGATTCTAGGAAATTTAATTCATGTAATTCTTAAACACTTTTATTCAAATTAATAAAATTACGGAGGGGGAAATCATAAATAAAATAAAACAGGCTAACATCTGTTAAGGATACTCATGGCAATAATTTTTTTAATTGAACAAAAACTTGCTTTACAAATCAAATGCGGAACCCAACTTGTGTATCGCACAAAAATTATCATGATGTAATATCAAGTTTAAAAGAACGATTTCTTTAATCAAAAAGGAAAGCTATTTATATGATAGATAGAAATAAGAAATTTTTTTTTTTTTTACTATTGCGACTAAATGCAGCATTTCTAATTACTTACAGCATGAATCATCTCTGATAAAAGAAGTTCTTGATCTTGTCTCATTTCCAAGTCTTCTAATTCAAACTGTATCGTCTGACGAGCACTATCAACCTTTATATATATATATAAAAAACTTTGTAAATGCAAACTTTTAAAACATTTTTAATAAGCACACAACAGAATCAAATTCAGACTTATTCAGAAATTCTAAAACTGTAAAATTCAGAAAATTCTGACTAAATTCAGAAATTGTAAAATTTCTGCCTTGCAAAAATAATTTTTAAGGCTGATTTAAAAGGCAGAAATTAAACTTTTTTTTTTTTTTTTTTTTTTTTTTTTTTTAAAGTTTGGGACTTTCTGATTATCTGCACCCCTGACAAAAAGTTGTGGAAAAGTATCTACAAGACAAAGCAGGATGTCTACAAAATAGTTATATGACACCAACAATCTTGCGAAAAAGAATTTATCTGGCAACCCATGTACACATGCAGCATATCTGTTTTAGCCAATGTGCAATACTGATGTATGGATGTTGAATTCGTGCAATCTTCGAATTTTTTAAAACAAAAAACACATAGCTGCATACATGGGGAGAACAACAGTGGGAAAAAGTAAAATTTATTGAAAAAGGGTAAGTACTTCTTGCTTTTTTAAATTTTATTGATTGATTGTTCTTGTATGAAACTCTTACCCATTTCAGCCTTTCATGCATTAGTTTGGTGAAAAATTTGTCAACAATGAGATCACGAATGCTTTTCAAAGTCCCCACCAAGTTCGTAACTTTTTGTGGGGATTCAAATAATCAAAAAGTACCATTTTTTTAAAGATAATTACAATAATTAAAAGAAGAATTTTTCATGTTTTAATGCATTTTTCCTATAGCTACATGCACCAGAAAAGGGATAAACCACATAATATTTGAAATTTCAATTCTGAAGAAGTATCATTAGCAGCAAAGGTACAGACAACTGGAAACAGTGTTCAGACTGAAACATACACTAACATTATATAACCAACAATATTTTAAAATTTTCTTCAATCCCAATTCTGGTAAGCCAATGACATTCCACTTGACTTACTCAGTCTATGGATAAAATATTAAAATAAATATTAATATTTCATTGTATTATATGACTGCATGTATATCTAATTGTTTTTATTATTAAATCAAAATTAGTTTGTAGTGTGTCCCCCAGAAATATGAAATGGAAATGCAGACTTTAATTATTTTTACTTCCGTCTATATATTGCTATCCATACACTGTATTATTAGGTCATCCCATAAATAACGTGGATTTTTTGGAATCCTCATTTTTGAATTTTTAATCTGATATACTGCCCTTCATTCTCTACTAATTCTTAAAAATTATGCTGGGATTTTGTTCCACCAGCCTTTGAAGGATATTCTTGCCAAGCTTCACAGATCTTCCAGAAAGAAGCTTATCTTCTAGGCAATAATTCCACCCTCAGAATTTCTGGAACCACTATCATCACAGCCTCGTGCTTACTGTCTATTTATTATCTACAGGATCAATATGCCTATTAATAATTATTTAAATAAACTTATAAAGCAAAATATGTCTCTGTCATTTAGCTTTGAAGGGGGGACTGTTAAAATTAAATTGCACCAAATAAGAAGGTTTCTTTTATGGAAAGTGGATACGTGTTGTTTATTCCTTCCCTCCAAATTTTAATTAAATCGGAGAGGGGAAAACATGCATTCTTAACGGCATGACCCAATACAGTCAAAAGTCGTTAATCTGGACTCGTCGGGACTTCGGCCATTCCAGATTATCGATTTTTCGGATTATAGATCATTCGTTTAAATCTGGTAAGACGACATGCAGAAATTACAAAATTAAAAATATGAAACCGTAATTTATGAAATAAAGAACAATTATGATCTAAAGGGTATCAAAATTTACAAAAAAAAAAAAAAAAAAAAAAAAAAAAAAAAAAAAGCTTAATATTTATTTGTTTACTTTATTAAACATTTCTTTCAATATAAGTTGTTTATTTTGCTTCATTTCATGTGATAATACTTTCCCTTTAATTCTATTAAACAGACATAATTTCTTGTTTAGTTACAAAGTTCCGATGTTCAAGTCCTATAATTGCTTTAAATCATATCAAAGACGGAGTACATGACATGAAATACTACATTTAGTAAGGAATTATAAGCCAAATAAAATAAAAACATCTGCTGTGAAGATAAGGATAGTAATGACAGATCAACTTCCAATTCATTACGCGCCACGGCGTCCCCCCCCCTGCCGCAGAGCAGCGTGAAATTGATAAACAGATTTCGGATTTCGAAACATACTTTGGCTTTGTAAATCCTTTACATATTAGTAAATATATATCAGAAATTCTATTTGACATAATCGAAAGTTCAAGCTTACTTCTATAAAGTTGCTCTAACAGTCTGCAAAAAACAATAAACCGGATCCAATTTGAAGATTAAGGAACAACGCAATCTGCAACATTAACTGAATTAGATAATTTTAGCTTAGCTTATACCGTTCGTTATATATTAAACGCACATATGCACACACATATTTGCAGCCGTAAAGGTCTTACGCGCCTGCGTAAACGCCTGTGCGCGTGCATCAAAGCGACGCATGCGCAGAAAGTTTGTAGCTTTGAGGTCCGGATTATGGGAGTCCGAATTAACGACTTTTGACTGTACAGGTAAAATAGTAACATTTTGCTTAGCAACGCAACTGAAATCTGGAGATTCTTATTACTGTTAAAAGCAATAAATTTTAAAGATATGTAAGAAAAAAGAAAGAGGACATTCAGAGAGAAGCTGAAAATTATAAATATGTCACAAATTTCTAAAGTATGTCTTAAAAAAAAAAAAAAAAAAACTTGCAGGGTGAAAATATGCAAGTAAATGTGATTTCAATGCATAATATTTTCTTTCTGTTTTCCCATCATTTCAAAATACATGAGAAATTACAAATAATTACTTAGTATTCAAAATAGTATAAAAATTATGATGATGATACACAATTTTTTAAATTCTCACCTCTTCAGCAGATAACTTTGGCCTTAGAACTGCTTCAGACAAAAGTTTTATTACAGGATCTAAACTTTTAGAATTAGCTGAGGCTGCATATATTAAAGTATCCCTATTAAAAAAAAAATACTATGAAAATTAAAAAATTATAAAAACATACATTTTAACAAAAACAGAATTAATTTTAATACTTGGTACCAATTAATTTTACTAGCAAACACAGAATGACTAATAGACAACTTTGGTTATCCATCAAACAATACAGTACACACAAAACTGAACAATAAAAATTACTCTGAAACAATTTTCTTCATTCATAAGAAATCTTCTCCTTTCTTTCCAGATTTAAAATACCGACAAATTTGAATTGACCATTCAGTGAAAATAAAGCTATTGCATTCTTCCATGAAAAGGGTATTTTACACTTTGCCAAAATCTGAGAAAATGAATTTGAATGCAACTTTCCTTAAAGTAGGAATCTGTATTTAAAAAAATATTTTTATATTTCAATTATGATTCTGTTAATGAAAAAAGGATCTTTGGGGAATAATTTCTATGGCACCTAAATTCAACAATATTTTTCCCATTGTGCTTTGTTTGCTAATAAAACTGACAAGTACTTAATGCTTTTTTTTTACTTACCTATTGCCCTGACAATCACATATACCACCATGTTTTTCTAGTTCTTGCAGTATGGCATTTTTGTCCTCAAATTCAGCTGTAGACTTAAAGTAAATAAATAATTAATACAATTCATCTGAAGTACTCAAACAATAAATCCACAAATATATTTAATTTTGCATTACAAAACTCTAAATTATGAAGTGAAAATTATTAATTAAAAAAACCATTATTTAAAATTCAGATATGAAAATATTTGAGATATGTCTGAAAAAATTATTTAAAGAGTAGAACCTTTAAAATTTTCAGAAAATAATTCCAGCCAAATGTTGTGAGAGTAGGAGAAAAATATATATACAATGCAGTTTTGATCATCAGTTAGTCTTAAAACACTCACGATGGCTGATACGAAAATACATGGACAACAGAAACTTCTATCACCACCATCAGTGGATAGGCAGACGATAATGAAGAAATATTTTTAGCATAGTACACTGTAATATTACAAATAAAATTTACAAATAGAAATGTAATATATATCTGGTAAATAGATAAGGAATCTCAGAATAAAATACAAAAATTAAATACCAAAACCAATAAGCTTTATATTCTTTTAAAACCAGATAATTTTGACTTTTGAAGTGCTGGTTTTGTTTAAAAACTTAATGCAAAAGTTTAACCCATTTAAACACAACATTTAAATACATGTGCAATCATAAAATTACATTCAAGAAGAGTCTTGGAAAAGACACAACAATATTTGTTTAATATTATTTTACTCCCTTTAAATATTGAGAATATAAGTGAAAGGAATACAAACAGAGTTATTCAAGATGATGAAATATTTAAACATACAGCTATTTGCTGTTCATATTCTGAATATTTTCATTGCTTTTATTGATCTCATCTTTATCAATGTAACAGGTTATTCAACAGTGATCATAACTTAATTATTATCAACATAAATGCTATAACAAATACTTACATTAAAGGCTAATTTTTCCAAAAAATGAGATATTCCACTAGGATAAGCTACTTCATAACGTGAACCTGAATCAATCACAACTAAGAGGAAAATACACACAAATTAGAATATAACATATTACTTTTAAACAGATAATGCTGTGAATAAAACACTGAGGAATCAATAACAACATAAAAGAATCACATAAATAACATCTACATTTATATAACTAATAATTTATTTACTCGAGTTAACATCAATGAAAAATTCTGTACTTTCTAGATCTCATTCCTTGAATATTTAAATTAACTAAATTTATTCCAGAACCAAATATATTTCTTTTTAATTCTTTTTAGATACAGTATTTAACTAGTAATAAATCAAATGTACATTTTGAAAACAATTATACACACAGAAGATACAAAGCAAGAACCTATTTTTTTATATTTAATTAAATTTAAAAATATACAAAAGCAATTACAGTCCACAAAGTACAAGGAATCCCTTTTTGCCTAAAATAGGTTTTTTTCTCATGGAGTTACATGTTAAAAAATATTCAATTCCTTAAAAATTAGATCCCCATAATTTGCAACACCACAAACTTCAACATCTTATTAGAGAAATACATACATTTATCAAGCAACAGTGCATATATAAAGTAACCATTATGAACAACAATCATTTACCAAATTAGTCTACTCATGTTTATAGAGATATACTCTTAGATGCAGTCTATTGTTATTTTAATAAACTTTTGCATTATTCTCCCCAGTGATTTTTCTTTGCAAAAATGTTCAAGAATATATATATATATATATATATATAAACATTTTATATCATACAAATTTCAAACTCAAAGTGATGCATTTGAGTTTGGAATTTGGAATTTATTTGCACGGGAATGCAATAATAAAGCTGCACCAAAACAGTTTGGATCTCCTCTTACAGCTGCCATGATTGGACTGAGGAGAAAGCACAAAGATGAATTCTCACAGATGCCAAGGATGAAGACAGCAAAACAAAACAGAAAGGTGAGGCAGGCCAAGTGTCAAGAAAAATTCAAACAGTTGAAAGCCAAAGGCAAACTGGTGTACCTGTTTCAACAAAAATCACCATCGATCAAAGGAAAAGAACTGCAGAGGACATGAAAAAGAACAAATAAGAACGTCAAAAGACAGAAGAAAGAACTGATTTTAAAAGCGTATGCATCTAATGCTTCTATTTTGTGAAGAGGAATGGTTTGAATCTAAGGAACAGAACAATGCTTGCTTAAAAGATGCCCGATGCCTATGAGGAAAAAATTCTGAAGTTTCATTCTTATGCAATCAATAAAAAAAAATACTCAGCTTTGATACATAGTAAGTACGGATTTAGTTACACTCACCTTTGATGTTCCTTCCAACAAAACTGTCGATCAAAAATGGGCCAAACCATCTAGAGAAGTATGCATGAGAAGACACATTACACAGTTATTCTGATATGCTGCACTAATGATACCCAGTTACTACTCATACTCCCTTTTACAAAGAAGGCATTTCCAAAGTAGAAGCTGCTCGGAGGATTTCTTGGGCATATTCATGAAAAAAACTGGACAATCAAGATGGCATGATGCTTTGATTTGAGATTTTTAAGAAGCCAGCTATGCTGGAAATAGATTCGTTCATGGCACACTTTAACAGATGCCGACTTCCCCCCAAATAAAACAAACAAGAAACCCTATTGGTAGGTATTCTTGACAATCTTACAAGCCAACTCCAACCTGTGGACACCAATCTCAACAAAGGCCTTCAAGGCCCTAACGAGGAAGGAATGGAAAATATGGATTAAGATGTTAACTTCATCCTATCATGTGATCTCCACTTCTTCCTCAATTTGCCATCTTGACACTTCTCCATGACCAAAACAGATGCTTTGTAATCCACTTCCCATGTCGTGTTTCTTGGGTACTCTGAGGTTAAAGGTCCTCTATATGCTTTTTATTTTTGATACTCCATAGGAGTTCATTAAAAGCTCTCAACATCAGGCACCTCACAGAATTACTTCATGCAACAATATGAGAGGGCTCCGAGTCATAGTGGCTGGATGTTTTCTATGATGATAAAAATTACACTATATATATTTAATATGTATATATAGTGCAATTATATATATAATTGAAGCAGTAACAAATTAAAAAAAGATGATTTCGTGCTGAAGCTGCTAGATCATAATAAACTGATAATGAAGTTAAAAGTCGTAACATAAATTAAATATAAATTTAGTTCCAAAAACATAAAGGTCTACCTATCTCTCTCTCTCCGGGAAATGGTTACAAAAACTGAGCAAACACAAATGAAGGACACAATTAAAAACAGAATTGTTCAAAGAAAGTTTTAAAAACTACAGAATATGAGATTATAAAAATAAAAATTGCCCTAAAAATTAATCTCTTCTGTTAAAAGCTTCAAACAGAACTTGTCAAAGGAAACGTGTTTTGAAGGCTTAAACCAAGTTGTTTAATGAGTTCCGAATGCATGTTTCATTCCTCTGAGCCATTTCAGACTTTAAACTGCTTTTTCAAAACTTAAATTTTAAAAAGAAATTTCGAATGAGTCTCAAATGCTCAGATTTTTCCCCTACATACATTCGTAATTCTTTTGTTTAATCAAAGGAAAAAAAAAAAAAAAAAAAAACATATAAAAAGTATTTCAATTTTCTTAAAAATATTTTTAAGTAGTCTGAGCTACTTTTATGCATTGTTTTTTCCCCTTGAAGAGTCAGTATTGTTTCCTTACCTTTTCAACTGTTCATATTTAAGTAATTTTCTTTATATGCATATCCATATGCCGATTTAACTTTTACTATTTAATACCTGTAAAAAATTTTTCTGAAGCTTCTTAAAATTAAAAATTTTTTAAATATTACTTAAAAATTACCAATTTGTAATTGGAATTTATTTCGTCTTCAAACTGTAATTCTTTTACTTACTTCTTTATTATCCTTCTTAATTTAATTTGAAATATTAGAATTTTAATAGGAGTATTCACCTTTAATTAAATAATTGCAGCCTAAGCACAGGGTTCTTAACCATGTAAAGGTTAACCAGGATGGGTAACGAAATTCATTTCCACCCCATTTCAGCTGCCATTGTAAAGGGAAACTACTACTGTTTTGAAACTTTTCTTTGAGGTTGCCTTTGTTAATTCTCAAATAAGAGACTAGAGAATAATACAAAGTATTTTTTTTTCCCCTAAATTAGGGAAGCATATGATGATACGAATTCGTAGCTAAGTAATTTTTGAATGGTGGTATATTAACTTTTGACTTTGCGTTGTAATGAAAATACGCCTTAGCAGTAAATACCTAAAATACACCTAAAATCAGTACATAGTCTAATCAGTCTTTATTTGTTTTCAAACTGAATTTAGTTTAGAATTACATGTACTGATTAACAGTTTTAATTTATACTTGAAAATTATGTTTAACTATTTGTTTCTCACATAAATTGGCAATTCGCATTCATTTTGTTACAAATATTGTGTAACAGCTTATTTATATATTCAACAAATCCTCTTGTATTTTAGTGATATTAGTTTTGTTTACCTTTTACATTAGTATCCTTATTCAGTCCTTTTTTTTTTTCTTCTTAATTTACTGATTCCCCCTATTATATCGTAAGTATTTCATCTTTCAATTACATTATTTATATTATTCTGTTCTTTCCTGCGTTTTTCTGATAAAAGCTCTTTTTATTCTTTAGTGTGGGTTTAAAAAAAAAATATTCCCCTTATACTATAAAAAAAGGATTTTATTGATTATATTTTCATTTCATTTCAATGCATGTTTCAAACAGCAATATTAAATACAAAAATTACAATAAAAAGGGGAAATATAAAGAACAAAATACATTTTCGACGACACTGAAAAATTGGCGAAATTAATACTAATATTCTAAAATTTCAAATGAATTTATTAACTTTATTCATTTATTTATATAGACCCACCAGAGGTCAAGTGAATCAATGAACACTGATAGCTAGGTTCGGTTCACATTTCGGTGAACTAGCTAGCTGTATGTGGAGTTATGTATAACATGAGTACCAACCAATTTGCCTTAAAAAGTCCTCCAGAAACCCTTCCCCTTTGGGCAGACAGCCCTTTGTACCTTGGTCGTAATGCAAATATTCCAACTTTTATTTATATGTGCGTATATGTATAGAGACCAGAATAGCTATAAACAGATAATTATTCAGTCACCCCTGCAGGAATTTAGCTCATATTTTCATTATGCATAAGAATGTGAGGAATACTGAAATTGCAAATGTTATTAAAATAGCATTTCTCGTTATTAATTTACCACAGTTTCATTCTTAATTAAAAAAAAAAAAAAAAAAAAAAAAGGCTTATGCGGAAAAGTAATTCAGTCTTTCAGTAAAATATGAAATAAGATATAAATTAGATAATATAGATAAAATTAGATACTATACAGAAATTAGACTGTATGATTATACAAAATTATTAAATTATGCTATTGTTGTTCACCTATGTGGAAAAATAACATCATTAAGGAATATATTTATTATTATTTATTTAATATATGCTCCGCCACTAGGCACTACACAGAAAGGGAAAGGCGCTTCATGGAAGATGCTTTAGGGGGAAGTGTTCAGCGGCTTTTTAACGCTTGGCCGCTGATGAGCTTTTGTAAGGATGTTCTGCGTGAAACTCACCCATATGCTCGTTGTACATGTGTACATGAAGGAGGAAAAAAAAAGCTTTATTTAGCTGCAGCAGAGAATAGAACCTTCGAGAATCACCAGTGTATATCGACTTCACTGATATGCCATTAGGTGATAGACAATTGACCGAAAGTATGACCCGACTGTTATCAAAACGAGTACAATTTCTTATAAGAAAGAAGTTGAAGCAAAAGCATACATATGTATTTATATTTTAATCATTAATTCTCATTTTGATTATCTTCTAGGAAACGAAGAGCATATGCTAATTTAATGAGATTGTTTAAAAGTTAAATTTTAATAACTGCTGCAAAACTATAATTTAATACATTTCCCACATTTTGCTTTCGTGCTACATTTTGCATTTGGAAATATTTATAACA